GATCTTCATGTTATAGGAATCCATGTTTTGGGAAACTTAGGAGGATCTTGGATTTGTGGATGAGAAGTCAAGAGGTGCCTTCGCTCTCGGCAAGGCCTAATTAACAAGATGATGGGATTATACACGTCGTGACAGCAAATCTTAAAATCACAATTAATGCTATGTCAAGCTTGACCAAACGACGGCCAAACAATATTTAATGCCACTGATTAGGGAAGAAGTGACATGGCAACATGGGACAAAGCTCGAGGAAAGGATTAGACCCTTCAGACCCCTAAATCTTCAGGATTACTCACGTAATCCGGATTGGGGGTGATGCATGCGAGGGACCATGCATAGAAGGGACCATTGGATAATAACCAATGGGATCCAGATCTATAAATGGCACTGTCCTATGAAAAAAGAACCAACCCCCGAAAGAAGAAAAGTTGTCATGAAATATTGTATACTCGCCCTACCACCATCTTGATCTTGATAGTTGGTCTTCTTCTCCTCCTCCTGCACTGAGCATCTCCTCTATTTTTCTTCGTATTTATATTCCTAATATCTCTATTTTATTGCTGTTTTATTACCTAGTAAAAAAAAAACCCCTACAGATGGAAAGTGAATTTTTTTTAGAAAGTAGGATTTTCGCTATTGTGAATTTTTCCTAAAAAATTTTCAGTATAAAACACGCAAAAATTTACTTTCTCGCAAAACTTAGCCACTTTATATCTTAGTTTCCTGTTATGCTTGTTTTTTTTTTTTTTTTTGGTTAAAAGTGCCAGTTGTTTCTCTCCCCTCTACTTCACTTTCTTAGTTTCTCCATGTTTCTCTCCTTGATTCTCTCCACTTTTCAGTTTGTAACAAACTTTAAACAGATATAGATTTCCTTCTATAAATTGATATAATCCTAATTTAAATATTTATAATTTTATATATGCATATAAAATTATTATTATTATTATTATTATTATTATTATTATTATTATTATTTATTATTTTGGGTTCTATAATTAATAGTGATTGAGATCGAGTAGTATACATACATGTTTTTTGACTATTGGTGTTGTAGGTTATTGGGATTCTTAGTTTGATTGGAAACTTACGATCTCCAGATTTGGGTTTTACAATTGTTGTGTCTACAATTTAGATATTAATAGAAATAATTATATTATTATTTTTAATAATATATTATTTTACTTTCCTTTTATTTTATTTTGTTTTGTTAAAAATGGATTTAAACAATTAGATATAAAGTGGTTCATCAAACACAAATTTATTTTATTTTAAAATATTTAAATTCCTATGGGTAGTTTTGATAATAGAATCATTTTCTATTCATTTTCATCCTATCCAAACTAGCTAACAAAGTAATATTTTCTCATAATTTTCTTGAAAAATTTTCCTACTAACCAAACGCACACTGGAAACTTGATTTTCTTTTCTTTTACTTCACTTTCACTTTCTATCATAAATTTCTATCTAACCAAACGGACCATAATGTAATGATACTGATACAAAGCAGGTATAAATAGGCTAACATTATCATTACAAAGCAGGTATAAATAGGCTAACATTATCATTACAAAGCAGGTATAAATAGGCTAACATCAAACTGCTAGTAAATCACTATTACAACGGCTATATAATGTAATTATGGTATCAATTTAAACAAAGGCTATAATATAATCTAATTATGTTAACATCCAGTTGTAACATTAACAATCCTAGTAGAAGACACCCTTTTAACAAATTGCCGCGCGCGCCAAATTTCAGAGCAGAAAAGGCAAGCTATACTAATACTCCCTGCTACAATGAAGATGCCGATAAAGTTATAGGCATCGAGACTAGGTGTTTCTTCAGGGAGCCGTGAAATTTTAACTTCCGAAATTTGTTCTTTGCCGAAATAATTATGCTCAAGCTCAGTTATTTTCCCTTCATCGGTGAGATTCATGATTGCCTTCGAAATTAAAGGAGCTAAGCAAGACTTCAAAGGGAATGCCTATTTTAAGAATGAATAATAAACGAGAATCAAATATGCGTTTATGTTGTTGCTTCATGATTAATAATGGTAAGGTTGCCCCACTCCCAAAACAAAATAATTAGATATATATATACATATAAAACAAATTCACGTGTTAGAATGAGAGAGACTCACAAAGCCAAGTCCATTTGTTCTGTGAATTGGTCCCCTCACAGAGTATTGTGAACCATACTTCTGAAGGAAGAGCTTGATGTAAGGCAGCTCGTCATATATGGCTGCCACACCTTCATTGTCACTTCCTTTAGACAAGGCCTCCTGATAATCATCAATAGTCAAATATGGAATGATACGAGACGCATCGAATTTGGTCTCATTTATCAGATAAGTTTTCACAAATGAACCTTCTTGGTATCTGACTTTGTAATTCCCTTTCTGATTGAAGAAGGGTCATAGCTGATCTATTGTCAACATTGTGGTGAAGTTTGCTGTGTAACTCTGCATTATTATGAATGCTGTGTACAACCATACCACCAACACAGGTTTTGACCACATGCTCACCACCATCCTTCCTGTTACGTGCCACCAAAACAACTATATATACTCAGGGCCTGTTTGGTAGGTGTTTTGTTTTGTTTTAGGCTTGCTACAATAACCTTTTTCAAGCCCAAAACATGTTTGGTTGGTCTTGTTGTGTTTCAAACAGTTGTAAAATATTTTCAAAATTGGGCCCAAAATATGAAACACCAAATTGGTGTTTTTTGTTGTTTTGGTTTTATTTGGGATAAGAATTACTGTAGCGGAAGAAGCAAAAACCATCATTTAATTGTAGCGGATGCAGTAATTGTTTAACATATAAAACGAAAAAGTTGCAATAATCTAGGGTTTGCGTTTACTCATTTGGTCTGGCGATTTTGGGCAATTCTTGGCGACGGCTGGGTAATAACTGAAGGACAAGGTTCCACTGTTTTCGGCCGATCTCTTCGACGATCTCTAACCAGGTGCATGCCTCTCTATCTTATTTTATCTTTTCCTCCATTTTATTTTCCTCTGTGAAACAGTTTTTGCCCCTCTTGTGTTATTTCGGCTTCCACCAATTGATCCTTTTCATTAAAACCTCATTCAACCCACATGGTTGATTCTCAATTTCTAAGGCTAATTTGCCTACTTGTATTACGTCCAGTCTATTTTTGTGAAGGTTCTCTGGTTAACAAAAAGAATATTTTTTTCTATACAATTTGGCATATAGTTTATTGGGTGCCTCAATATGTTTTCAATAATTGGGTTTCCTAAATTTCAAGGGTTCATGTCCTAATTCACATTTGCTACATATCTATATTTGTGAATGTGTGTATGTGTGTTTTGTCCTGACATAATTACTGGGTTTCATTTTGTTAGCCGAAACCAAGGGTGCCAGTTTTCAATTTTTCATATAAATCACCAAATAAATTTATGACGTGTATCATTGCTCTTTGTTTTTTAATTCTTGACACAACATTTAGAAAACCTGAACCAAACAAGTCATGAATTTTTTTTTTTTTTTTTTTTTTTTTTTGTTAAATTACCAAAATCTTTTTTTCTTAATTTATATAATTACCCCAAAACAATGTTGGTATGAATGACTTCCGAAAAAATGTTGGTATGAATGTCACTTTTTTGCTAGGCTATACAATATACATGATTGTGCATATTTTCCCTCTAGCTTTTTTTCAAAATCATACAGAAAAGACCCAATTAACAATATCTTTGTTTCTGTCAAAGAAACTGTGGAATTAAACACATTTTCTGTTCAATGTGGACTTTAGTGACAATGAATGGGAAGAAAAGGGGATGTATGAAAGGGTGGGGCCAATCATAGCAAGAAAGGTGAAAAGAGGATTGTGTTGGATGCTTAGGAGTGGGTGACAGTGGGTCACATGAATTCTTTTCTTCTAGCTATCAGCGTGTGAGAGAGAAAGAGCAGTGAACTTTAACTGAGTGCCAAAAAGAGGTAGGTGCACTACATATATTTTGATGCAATACCCATTCCTTGTCAGCACAAGCTTGCCCAAGTCCCCTTCACAAGAATGACCATTTCCAACCCCTCTTGTCCTCTTGGTAGATAGAGGACTGTCATGACTAGGTGGTGTTCTTGAGATATCTAGCTTGACATCAAAGCTATTTTCACTTCTATTACTACAAGAACCCTCAGTTGATTAATTTTATGTGATTTCCAATTGGAAATTGATTGGATCAAAGCCTTGAGAACACACTAGTTTTGGTATACATCTTTCTACTCCAATGTGTTGTCAACTGAAGAACTTAAAGTGTCCATTTGGATATGCATTGAGCTAGGTGTGCATTCTCAGTTTTTTCTGTTAAGGCTCTTAGATTAGAGGGAATGAAGTCAGCGTGTCAACATGTTGAATATTGGTTTAAGTTCTGTACAATCTTATATAAATGTGGTTTTTTTTTTTTTTTTTTTTTTTTTTTTTCGCTTCGCTAATCTAATATCTAGAGGAGCTGAGTTTGATCGATTTATGTACATAAATTGTATATTGTGTGCATTGCCTTAGCATGTATACACACGTATTGCATATGTTCATACCTATCAATTTTACCTCCAATTTCATGATTTTTCAAATCCGTTTTTGTATGCTTGTAATATACTAATATCTACATCCATTAGTCAATTGATTTATTAAGTAAATTGGTCAAACTTGATAACACTAGGCTGAGTTTATTTGACTATTGGAATGCATGTTTAATAGCCTTTTCATTTTTGTAATTTTTAGTAGTTCATATGTATAATTTAAAGAATAATAACAGGATACAATAAAATATAGAAATAAAGTCAAAATAATATAAAGAATTATTTGCTTCGACTTTAATTATTTTATACATTTTGTGTGGCTTCTAAGAAAATAGTAAGAAATCATTCATTGAATAATGGAAGAACTTATAGGGCTTTGAGTTATTGAAGTAATAGCATGAGTTATTGAAGTAATATATATTATTTTTGTTGTTATTAATTATAATATTGTTATTAATCTGTTAGATGGATATGAATGTGGAACAATGTGGTGATCATCTCATAATTGAAGAAGAAGGGGTGGCTGAAGTTACAAAAGATGGAAAATTGTTATGGGATGACTCACTCACTGAAAAATTCTGTGATATTATGGAGGAACAAGTTAAGGTTGGTAATCGTACTGACACAACATTTAAACCAAATGGTTGGACTACAATGGTAAAACAAATGAAGATTCAAACAGGGAGAAAATTTGACAAAACCCAACTTCGGAATAAGTTTAACAGTTTGAGGAAAATTTATGTCAAATTTAAGAAATTGTTATCGAAGACTAGCGTGGGATATAACCATGAGACGGGCATAGTTATAGTTGAGGAAGAGAGATGGGAGGTTGAGCAAGGTTAGTAATTTAATTATTAGTCCTAAATAAATAATAAAATGTAATATATTCTTTGTTATGAGGTTAATATTGTAACAAAATTTGTAGGTTATTACGGGTGCAAATAAGTTTCGCAGACATGGATATAAGGATTTTGACAAGATGTCGACTATATTTGGAGACACATATGCAACAGGGATGCATGCCCACCCTTCCACTACAGCACCCCCCGCAATCATTTTGTCCACTCCCAATGATGACGATGATGAGGAAGAGGGTTGTAACGTCAGTCCCCCACCTTTACGTAAAGGTAAGAATTCCAAAAGAGATAGTTTATCTCCCAGTATGGCTGCGCTCTTGTCAAATATGGATGAGAATTCTGCAAAGAGAACTGAGAGAATGGAAGCTGCAATAGAGAAAGTAATTAAAGCTTCTTCTACTTCTACTCGTGTATCTTCATGTGAGAAAGGAGATGATGAAGTTCTCTCTCCCTCTAAAAAGGATAGAAATGATGAAATGTTTGATGCCTGCATGCTTCTTTTACAAAAAATACTTGGAATTGAGATGGCCCAATTCGCTAAGGTATTGAAGCTTTTACATGATTATGAGAAGTGGCAGAAATTTTTTCTTTCAGCACCTGAGGAGCTGAGAAATGGTTGGGCACTGAATGTTTGAGTCTTTCTTTATGGATGATTGTGTTTTGTTGTTTGTTTAACTTTTTACTATCTCACATTTGGATGACTGTAATAACTAAATATTTTTATTTCTTGGATGAATGTACTGCTATTATTTAAATGTTTTTCTTATTAAGTTAAATGTTTTGCTTATTAACTTAAATACTTTATTTATTACTTAAATGTTAAACTTATTAACTCAAATGCTTTATTTATTATTTAAATGTTTTGTTTATTATTTAATTGTTTTGCTTATTAACTTAAATGCTTTGCTTGTATTAAATCTTTAAATAGGGCAATGGATATGTGGAACCATATAAGAAGAATAATTCAATTTTATGACGATGAGGAGGACAATGAGAGTGTCTTAATATTTGCTGCTCTTTTAGAATAGCAGAACTTCTATCAAAAGAAGCGTTGTAGGGATTCCATTTTACAAGGGGAAACGTATGTTATGGAGATTTTAAACGGCCACAGAGAAAGATGTTATGAAAATTTTAGAATGTACACTGAAGTTTTCAGAACATTGTGTAGTACCCTGAACGGTCTAGGGCTGAAGGATTCTAAATTTTTAACTGTTTATGAACAAGTGGCAATCTTTTTGCTCACTTTATCTCATAATCAAAGGAATCGTGTTGTAGCAGAGAGATTTCAACACTCCACTGAAACTATTTCTAGACATTTTCATGCTGTGTTGCATGCAGTATGTCAATTGGGCACCCATATCATTGCCCCTCCTGATTTTTCTGTGATTCCGAATAAGATTAGAGACTCTTCTAGGTTTTACCCTTACTTTAAGGATTGCGTGGGAGCTATAGATGGAACCCACATTCCTGCAACTCTGCCAGCAAGCATACAACTTCCATTTCGTGGTAGAAATGGTTATACCACACAAAATGTAATGGCCGTATGTGACTTTGACATGAGGTTCACATATGTGCTAGCTGGGTGGGAAGGCTCCGCTAATGATTCGAGAATCCTAAAGGAGTTTATTGAGAATACGGCAATGAACTTTCCAGCTCCACCAACAGGTAATATTATCTTACAAATTCACTTAATAAATGGTTAGTTTATCATACTGTATATATCTTTATGTATTCTAAACATGACAGGTAAGTATTATTTGGTGGACTCAGGGTATGCCAATAAGCCTGGTTATTTGGCCCCATTTCGAGGTTATACTTACCACTTTCAGGAATACCGTAGGACTAGACAACCTCGTGGTCGGGAGGAAGTGTTCAATCATAGGCATTCATCTTTGAGAAATATAATTGAGCGATACTTTGGGTTGTTGAAAATGAGATTCGCTATTTTGAGGGCAATGCCTCCTTATAAGTTTTCAACACAAATACTGATTGTAATGGCTTATTGCACATTGCATAACTTCATCAGAAATCGGCATCAGCCTGATGATTTATTTGATGGTAACGATCCTCCTCAAACTGATGGTGAAGATGATGAGATTGTTGACCATGTGCCTTCGGCTCAGCTTCGACAAATGGATCAGTTGTGTAATACTATTGCTGATCGAATTTGGAATTCTCTTCAGCATTCTTGATCCTTCTGGAAGTGATGGTATGTTTTTTCTTTTATATGTAATATATTTGTTGCTATTGTGAGCTTGTAATATATATATATGTAATATAAATCATTTTTTCTGTTACTATTACTAGTTGATATTATTGTTAATATATTTCAACTTAAATGCTATTATTGCAGATATGAAGTGTGTTGATGCTCTCTTAAAAGCCACATGTGCTGTTATGAAGATGATGTGTCGTTGCCATTGTCATCCACTTTATGAACTTATTATTAATTTTTAGTGACAATTATGTATTGTTAATGCTTTGTTCCAAACATTTAATGTAGAACTTAAACTTGTTTAATTTGTTGGTTGAATATTTAAGTACTTATAAATGGTATACACTCTATTCCAATTATGCTTTCAGTTGGGTTTGTTTTTTATTTTTTTAATATATGTTGTGTTGGATTATACAGGTAACAGGATAATAAAATTGAAGCAGGTTATTGCAAATAACTTGTAAATAGGTTATTGCAATTTTTTTTTTACAAATGTTGACTCTCATGTAATATAGTAAAATGTGACTAGAGATGTTTTTATTTTTAATATTATGTTGGATTATATAGGTAAAATGATAATAAAATTGAAGTAGGTTATTACAAACAACTTGTAAATAGGTTATTGCAAAAATTAATATATATATATATACATATACATATATATATATATATATATATATATATATGTTTGTGGGTTCAAATTTCTCCATATCTATTAAAAATATGATAACTATTTATAAACATACTTAAAATTTATAAAAAACAAATTAAAAACAATGATAACCAAACATGTTTTTTTGTTTGTGTTTTATTTTTATTTTTTTGGTAGTAGTTGGATTGACTAAACATGTTTTGTTTTCAAAATTTTTGAAACGCATGACTTACCAAACATGTTTTGCATATTTTTGTTTCCGACATTTCCACAGCAAAATATCGTTCCCAAACAAGCTTCCGAATTTTTTCAAAAACACTCCTACAACAACAAAAACACTGTTTCTGTTTTTGCCAAAAACAAAACGCCAAAAACAAAGCGCATGCCAAACGGACCCTCAGTCTTCTTAAATTGCTGTGTTCAAATTTCACATTTTTGTAATAACGAGTTTCAAAATTGTACACTCATTTTAGATAATTGAAACAAACGAAACACAAGTAAGGATAGTGATAGAGGAAGTTACTTTCGGGAAGGACGAGCATTGAAACTGGATACCAAATCATGATGCCGAGTTGCCGAAGGAGTGGACCTGAAAAATCTTGGTCGGCGATGTTTGAACGCATCTCCAAAGTTCCAATTAGAACTCCAACAAAAATGAAAGCCATGATAATCCCCAACCAAAGATTCGGGCTTAAGGGTTTGAGGAAGATCCACATATTTTTTCGTGTACCTTGTTTAGTTGGTACAAGAATATAAATACTTGAGTCTAAATATGACATCGTAAAATCAACCCATGATGCTTGATAGCCCTTTATGGTCACGTCCCCCACTATAGCATCATACTGTTGAAAAAAAAAAAAAAAAAAAAAAAAAAAAAAGGAAAAACATCAATGGATCGATCCAAAATCAAAATATGTGCGGCTACTAATTTAAAAAAATTGAAACACATATATATACATCCTTAAGAATAAAAAAAAGCGGAAGGATATCAAACTGACCTGGGCAGGATTAGCTGGTACATCCTTAAGAAATTCATCATAATCTTCAGTATCAAATGTGGAAAACTGTGGCTCATTAACCTTGAAAGGTAACAATTCTAAGGCGGCACGGAACACATCTATGGAAAACCCAGTGACACATGGATTAAGGGCTCTAGTATTATCTTTACATACACTAACAAATTCGTTGAATCCCTTCTTCTTTGGAACCCATAGTTTCAATGTATTGGGTATGGAAGCTTGGCATTCTTGCTCACCAACTGGAGTGTTTGACACCAGAGATGTTCTTCTCTCTAGAGTCCCGCGTTCAATATTTGTATCTCCTTTGCCTATTAATGAAATACAATAGAATGAATTAGATTTTTTTTCTCGTGCTTGCCTTGATTAAGAAATAATTAAGGAACAGCACGAAATCTGATCTTTCTTTTCCCTGTTACTCATGCGCGGGAAGAACAACATGACCAAGGATTAATCTATGGTAAGTTAAGAGAGAGAGAGAGAGATATACATACACACACACACAAAAAAAAGGAGGGAAAAAATGAGTTTAAGTACTGAATTACCTGCATAAGCTGTATTTGCAACGCATAGGAAATGTAACCACAATATGATGAAGAAGAAAAGAAAGGAAGTAAGGCAGGGCATGCTGTCCATTTGAAACTCCTCCTCATGCCAATTGCAGGTTAATTCATACATAGGCCGGATAGGTGAGAAAACCTCTCTATCAGTTATTGTCAACTTAACTACCAGAAATTCCCCGAGTGAAAGGCCTTCCAAATTACCGTTAGAGAAATTAATGGTCTTGAGATTGACCTTCATACATAAAAAAACACTTTCTAGATGCAACGCAAACACGTAATTTTTTTTTTTTTTAATAATAGAAAGTCCAACACTCATTCAATTAAATTTATGTGATAATAGAAAGTCCAACACTCATTCAATTAAATTTATGTGAATAGAAAATCAAATCTTTCCTATTCACGCAAATAACTCGAACATTTAACTTTTGATCTTTTAACAATGAAAACAAGTGAGCAGAAACTTCTGCACCTAGAAGTATTGTGACAAGTCATGTATTGAAGTAGATTCCGATTTCCGTGTAAAAGAAGTTTGAAACTTCTCCAAGTCATGTATTGAAGAAGTAGTTGATGACAAAATTTGAAGCATTATTGAGAGAGAATTTTCGTGGAAGAAGTTTCATGAAAGAAACAGATGGAAGACTGACTATAACACGCGCCTACGCAAGGCAAAATTAGGCCCAATGGTGGCAGTGAAGCGACTGGTAATTCCCTCGCGTCCGGGTTTTGTCAGTAACCCGAACCTAGATATTTTAAGGGTAGGGCAGCCCGGTTCAACCCCCATTTTTTTTTTTCCCTCCCTCACTTTTTTCCTATTTGAAAAATATCAATTTTTTCGAGAAATATTATGTCATTTTTCCTGTTTGAAATTATTTAGCATCACTTAATAAAACATACCCTTTTATATGAATTACAATTGAAATCACATAAAAGCATAGGACACTGTATATTGAATGAGAAAGTAACAATTTATATAACGATATATGCCTAAAGAATTTTTGAATTAATAAAGAACAAGAGTGCCATATTTTGCAAAGTGGCGGATGAGTGGATGATAACACAAAACTGAGTTGTCAATCAATTTAAGCTAGATGAATTTTCTGCTAAGTGAGATGCATTCATCAGCTAGGTCAACCACTAAATACATAATTAAATAATATTTTAATTAGTCACCCAGTTCTTAATTGTTACTTATCCACTGTTGGTTGACTTTGTTATCTTCCAAACTAACTAAATAAATAAAAAATACTATTGATCTTCATCAAAATCAATTGCTGAGAGTTCTTTAATAGAAACCAAAGAATCAACTAGAAAACAGAACTAGAGTTCTTTAATAAAAATCAAAGAACTGAATCTTAAATTCTTAACACGTGGGCAGCCACTATGCCGAGACTTCTGATTGAATCTGAAAAGGTCCTTTCAAACATTAAAACATATATTTTCAAATTACAAAGGTAAGGTAACAAGAGAGCAGCCAAGCCCAAGTACAAGAAGCCTTTTGTTCTGATTTAGATACTGTGGACAAAACCAGTGGAGCAGATGTTATTAAAAATTCTTGCAGATAGGCACGGATGTATTGTGGGCTCAGTGAGAGCATTCGTTTCTATTGAAATTTTTTATTATTGTATTTTATATCCTTAAATTTATACTTTTTTACATTTATACCTATAAAATTTTGAAATTATACCTACTTGCTGATGAAACAAATTACCACTCTTTACGATTATGGGAATCTAAATCAAATCATACCCTGTTTGCCTTATGATCTTATCCATTGGGTTAAACGTGTTGGTATTTGAACCTAAGGATAATTTTTTTTTTTTGTTTGTTTAGGTATGATTCATATGCTCTACGACAATTTTGTCCTAAAACTCGTTCTTTACTTAGAATAAGTGTAATACTAGTAATTTTTTTTTATTTTTTTTATATATGTGTAATACTAGCTTTTAAGTTGGTGCATGCCTGTCTCAAGAGCAACTTATTGTACATATGAAGTGTACAGCTTTTAATGGAACAGAAATTAACTCTGGCAAGTCATGATCATGTCCACTGATTGCAAATTTTTTATTGCACGGATTACTGTTGACTAAAATGAGAGATTTTTTTTTGGATTTATGAGGTGTAGGTAGAGATTTTGAGTTGTAAAACGTTTATTGTACGTTTCTTCCAAACTTATATATAGGTGAGTACATACACACATATATATGGTTTTTGAGGGTATGACTTGATTCACTGAGTTTGCCTTTGTACTTTTCATGACTGAAAGTGCGCAACCTAAATTGTGTTTAATTGACTATTGATCTGTATTCGTCTCCATTGTTGTACACATTTTTTGTAATGTTTAGTTGAACTGGTTTATAGTTTGACATGTGAAAAAATGCCAATGATGATAGGATTTTATATAACAGAATCCAAATTGTTCATATATAGCATCTTCTTCGTCCGTAACAAATTGATTACCAAAATCAGATATGGGTGAGTAAGGAAATGTACCAAGTGTATCAATACATATTTCTTATTATGAACAAAGAAAGCACTGTCTTAGCTTCTTCGTTTATGTTACCTCTGCGAAATCAACAATTGATGATTTAGAAGTTATTTGTTCAAAGCTGCTGTTAATTAGAAATTCATTAATCATTTGGTATTTGAGAGTGCAACAATTATTCTACAGGTTTTAAGGAAACTTTTTCCTTACTAGATGCATTTCGGTTCAGTTATGACACAATAAGGCTGAAAAAATTTAGTGTCCCTTCCGACTTTTAGTTGATTTAATTAAGGAAACAGATTCAAGGAAGATGTTCAAAGATGCCTCTTGAATATATTCTTATTAGTCTTGCTGTCAAATGATAAAAATTATTCTGCAGGTTTTAAGGATAATTTTTAGTGAAATGTCAGATGTGAGATTTTGTGGGTCTACTATTTTCTGTCGCTTTAGCCCATCTTCATAGTATCTATTACAGCTACGGTATTATTAGTGAATCCTAAAAATGGCTATCTCAGGACCCAATCCCAAGGGCTATTTGCCTTACTCTATCAACTCTCTCCATCCTCCAAATTCATGAAGAGTAATTTTAAAGGCTTAGTCTAATGGTATAACCTCAGTTCAAGTCTCATTGTGGGCATGGACGTATTTAGTTTTTCTTGCGAACGACAGACCATATACTTGAATTAGGTCCCATTGAAAGTTGCAAGAAAAATTCTTACAGGTATTGAGGGGCATTACTCATTCGAACCAAGAAACTCACGGAAGTGCCTAATAGTTTCCTGATTTAACGGCATTTGGATTTTCTCAACTCTATTCTTTATAACAAGGTTGCTGAAATATGTGAAACCACTAGCTCTACTCCCTTTTATGAATGATGATATAGTGAAAAATGGGTTAGGGGCTGTTTGGTGTAGGCACAAATTCACAAATCACAATCAGCGAAGGAGTTGGGCCATTCTTATGGACATTTTACGAAGGCTGAGAAAGATGTGGCTCGTTTAGGAGCTTCTACGACAGTTTGGGCCACCACTCTAGTAGGATAAAGATTGGGTTCAATTGTTTGGGCTTTAAGCCATTTATTTATTGAGATCGGGCCAATATAGCCCAACACTTGAAATCTTTGTGGAGTAAAAACCCATAAATTAATTATAATGGGTATGGGATGGGAAAATTTGAGAAAAATAATAATCATTCACTAGCTTGTGAAGTTAGAGATAAAAAAAAAGTCATTTTCTTTTAGAATAGCGGGCAAAACCTAGAAAAGGAGAGTGATCTCCCAAATACTAAACGGTAAACTAAATGGCAATTATTGTTGGTTACTATTTATCTTTTGTTAAGTATTAGGTCACCCTTAAAGCAATTGTTTTTAAATTTTGATCACGAAAATCTAATTCTCTTATAAAAAACAGTTTGAACTTGTTCTGGATGAGTACTTTTTGAAATTTGTATGAAACATATACTCTATCATTTTTTAGAGATTGTATATATTCAACACACTTAATATTAGAGAGAAAAACATTTTATTAAAGTAAAATTTTGAATTAATACACCCATATCAACATATTATTTCTAGAATCCAACACACTTAATTTGTCATTTCAACATATTATTTCCAAAAATAATGTATATAAATTTCTATAAATATATCTAAATTTAAAGAGAGAAACAGAGATTATATAATTATAATAAAGATTTTTAGAGTTTAGGGATTCAACAGACTTAATATTAGAAAATTTATAAAAATGAAAATTTAAATTCAACACACTTAATTTGTCATTTTAACACATTATTTCTAAAATTTCAACAAAGTAGTTATTCATTTATAATATTATTTTCTAACTATAAATATATTCTTTTGAATAGTTAACATGGTTTGAGCTCTATAAAATTAAACATCCCTAAACAAATTAGTTAGCGATATCATAGGACCCTCTACAAACGCGGAGATATTTTTAATAGCTCCCGCATTTCTACCATATCTCGAGTACCTCGAGTAAACTAAATCTTTACCCACAGGGAATAGGATTTTATGTAAATCGGTGGTACATTATGAGGTACTTTAAGAGCCTGACACCACCATCACCAAAGGGAAAAGAAAAAACTAAACATTTACCAAATTACAACACAAACTAGCCGTTTCACATTAAATAAGACAAAGGTATCCCAACCATACATTGAAAAGGACTTTTACTAAATTTATTCTAAAATTATAACAATTTATGATCTTGAGGTTGACAATTTGGAATATATAGCTCAACCATTGAGAACACCATGCCTGGAAGAGTGCGCTTCTCCTCCACTTTCATCTTTTTGTTCTCCTCCACCTTCATCTTCCTGTTCTCCTCTACCTTCATATTCTTGTTCTCCTTCTTCTCTCATATAAACAATTTCGACATTCTGATTAGAAGTTGTAGGTTGGAGCTCGTTTTGATTGTCAATATTTGGCAGATCTTCCACGACATTAATTATCCTGGTAGAAGACACTCTTTGAACAAACTGTCTCTGGATCTCAGAGCAAATAAAAGAAGCTATACTAATACTCCCTGTGACAATGAAGAGGCCTATAAAGTTATAGGCATCAAGGCTAGGAGTGTCTTTAATGTCGAGACAAGTAGTTTCTTTAG